CACTAATTCAGCCAACTGATCATTCATCCCCACCACTCACACCTGTGACACCAGCTGACCATACAACTGATCATGCGCAACACACTTCTGCAACACCATGGATTGACGAGTTACCCTTTAACTCCATTCATAATCATAATGTTTCATTTTCTGTTTCACTGATCTCCAGGTCACCATCACCAAAGCGTTTAAAAAAAGACTGTGACAACTGTGTAGCTAAGCAACGGACAAGTCTGAACATGCTGAAGGAGAACAGGCACTTGCGTTTGCAGATAAGAGCACTTAGAATTCGACATAGAGAGGAAAAGAAACAGATGTCACTGAAAACATTGAATTTGACAATAAAGAGGAAATCGGCATCAGCTGAACTTTGGAGAGTCAAACATTCAAATTTGAACAAACAGTTCCAAGAACAGGAAATGCGGCACAGGAAAAAGGAAATGTCAATTAAAGCAAAACACGAGGAAGAAATAAAGGAACTGACAATTGCCAAAGGAATATTAGAAAGCAAACTGAAGCAATCTGAGAAAAAAATCACTGATTTGGAAAAGAGGAACAAGCAATCGAAAGAACAGTTTTGTGAAATCCAAAAGAAGATTAGCAGTGAATTAGACTATGTAAAAACCAGACTGCAAGAGGAGACAGATCGAAGTAAATACTGGGAAAACGAAGCAGTGGAACAGGCAGATTCTATTGAATCTGGAGAGGTGGTATGAATTGTAAGACTAAGTTAAACTTTAAGTTTTAACTTAAAGTTAAAGAAGTTAGTTTTGATTTTCAATTTTCCATCTTTTCCAGCAGTTTTCAGTCATTCACTTTCTTTTTAAAAAAATGAACTTTACTATATGATATTGATGTCAATAAAATAACAATAACAAACAGCGGAGAACGCATGCGTCCGTTTACTTGTTGGTAATGTTATTATTAGGGATTTTAGTCAAAATTTTTATTTTAGGTTTTTTACTTTTAAGTCTGTATGTCAATTCTAAGCGGAGATATTGCCATTTCAGTGACGGAAAGTGCCCTCAAAAAATTATAATGGAAAACACAGAAACAAGATGGCGGCGTGTTCCCAAGTGAAAACTGGACTTAAATGTATCATGTTTAATGTCAATAACTCTCAAGTTTTTTGCTGAACCCCTTAGCAACCATATGTCATTGCTTTCAGGACAGCAAGCTCTAACTAAAGTTGTTGCCTTTTTAAAAATATGATGTGATGCAAACCTAAATAACATAAAAATGAGTAAATTTATCAGTATTCATTAAATACCTTATGAATTAATTATTATTAATTATCCAGTGAGTCTTGCAAGACTTATACTGTAATATATATATATATACTTTTATATCTATTCTTCCTGTTATGATGCATCTTTTTCTATTTGTTGAAAAATGGTTTTTTCTCGCACTCTCATTTGTGTGTGTGTGTATGTTTGTGTGTGTGCATACATCTGACCGAAATTTGCTTTATTCCACTGTTTAAAAAATATTTAATAGCGAGTGGATTGACTTCATTGCATCGTTACTGATTTTATATGGCTTTGTCTTTCTCCACAATACTGAACAAATAACGCATGCCGAGAGCTTAGCACAAAGCCTGGATACCGTAGCTCCAGCAACAGCCCTCAGAGGTCTCCGCTAACCAAAAAAAATGCATTTTCGAGTCGAACAATGCAGTTGTAAATGAACGTACAACAATCTTCCGAGCGCGAGGTTAACGGCTTGACCACTTTGATACGGAGACCCCTATATTCCTATATTGTTTTATAACCAAGTGAAAATGAGCGCCCCTCTTACTGATTTAACATAATCCCTTTTTTCAATCTTTGCGAGTTATTCTTTCATTTTATTGATGATGAGACAATTCACCACATTGTTCCCCTCTTCTTCTTAACTAGTCACTGCTTGATATTTTATTTACTTGTTCAAAATAATCGAAGGTAACCGCTCATGCCCGATTTGTGACTCAGTGCTATGTTTTTCATGGAGTAAAATTATTAAATAAGCTCCTTTGTAATTCGCTTTGGATTTATGTTGTGTTTTCATGGAGATGTAATTCGCTTTGGATTTATGTTGTGTTTTCATGGAGCAGCATTTCATAAGGTAAGAGGAAAAATTACATTATATTTTATTAACTTATCTATGTCCTACGTGATCTGTGATTAAATATTATTAATCATAAGTTGTAAGTAAGTGAATTTATTCACTTGAAAATAATATAATATATTATTATTAATTTTATTAATCAACTTTCTAAATCATCATCTATAAGTCAATACTTCAATTTTAAAACAGTATCAATCATAAATAATAACTGTTATTTATACTATTTAAGACAATAAATATGCACCACAAAATCATAGTGCAGAAATGTGTGGCAGACATTTTTTTAAAATGTCAGTCTGGGTGCGGGGAGTGGGGGTCAACAGGTAAAAAGGCTTCAAACAGGAACTATGATTCATGCCAAATGATAGGTTATGGCTTAAAAAATGCTATAATGGCTAAAGATTCAAAAAATGATTAAATAACTACTTTATGTTCATTTAAAAGTATAATAAAAAATATTGAAACCACTGTCTGCGTCCAAAATGTCAGTCTGGGTGCGGGGAGTGGGGGTCAACAGGCAAAAGGGCTTCAAACAGGAACTATGATTCATGCCAAATGATAGGTTATGGCTTAAAAAATGCTATAATGGCTAAAGATTCAAAAAATAATTTAATAACTACTTTAATTTGATTTAAAACTATTAATATAAAATGTTTAAACCACTGCCTGTGTCCATTTTCAACGCAAAAATACCCTAGAAATAGTCCATGTTAAAAACGTGCTAAAACATCATTTTCAGGTATTTAAATTTATTAAAACTCATGTGAAATTGAAGTTAAAGAAAGGTAAATTATTAATACAAATAAAACTTGCATTATTTTTGAACTGTTTTTATAAATAACTAGATTAATTAATCTGAGATAAACAGTTCGTTTAGGCCACGCGGTAGCCATTTTGAGAAATCTCCGATTTAGCTCTAAGAAGTGACTGGGAAGAAATTGAAACTGTATATCTTATGAAGTACAGATTCCAGCAAAACTGCCCATCCTTACGTAAAAATGGACACAGAATCTAAAAATGTCATTTAATAGTATTTAAGTTCACTTTAAAAAGGAGATATTAAAGAAATTTACTTGGCATATGACAAATAGTGAAATTTATTACGCTCAATAAAGACCGCTATTCAATTTAGGCGTCGTTTGATAGAGTACCCTCTTTTGAATGACGAAGAGCGCATGTCATCAATTCTGAACTGCTAGAATCGCAATCAAAAAAATTAATTTATAATTCGTTATGAAACAAAACATTTTCACGAGTCCGCCGATTCCTCTGCGCACCAAACTGCGCAACTTTCGTTTTGACTTTGTTTACATTGGAGATCGTTATCTCTATTATTATTCCTCAGCTAGATACTTTTTACTTTAACTGTTTCCTAGTTTACTACTCAGCCGTTCTGCCCACTGAGTTGTCGCATTTTCTTTTTCAACTGTTTGTCCTATGGTCTCTGGCAATATATTAAACTATATTATTTTAGAGAGCCGTCGTGGTGTAGTGGCTAAGCGTTCGCCTGCGGAACTGAAGGTCGAGGTTTCAGGTCCTGACATAGGGTAGCTGCCACGTTGTAGCAGCTGTATGCTCGCCTGCAGATCGAAAAGTCGTCGGTTCGGGTTCGGACGGGACGGAGATAAGGTTTTTTTTTTTTTTTAAATAATCTTGACTCCCAATTTGACCCAGCAGTGAGTGGCTCCCAAATAAAGTCCTTGGAAGTAAAAGCTGTCAGCATGATGGTGACGACATCACCCACTAAGTGCTGATTAGTCTTAAAAATATAAGTCTAGCCCTATATGCCCAAAGTGGTCTGATTGTAAATATTTCTCACCTATCCCTTGAGTGATCATCGACCAGATCCCCTGTCACTTGTCACAGTACCATTCTCTTTATACACTGATGATCCATCTGTGCTTCCACACTGTTCACTAGCCTCCAAAGGACCCTTACAACATCTGGCTTGTCAACATCAGTTCATTGCCAATTTGTACTAAACCGGCCAATCTTTGTAGCTGTTCATTTCCAAATACACCAGTATAACGTGGGGAAAATATCCAAAGAAAGCTAACTACCTGGGATCTCTGAAGTGATGCTTGCCATTCTTCACGTAGCAAACCGGTCTTCACCTTTCTCAGTATACTCTGTAAGTCGGTTACAGTTACGACAAGTGTGTCCAGCCAAATTACAATAACCATTTACTACTAATTAAAAATTTGCAATTTTTAGCTGGATCATGTTGAACTTTTACAACTGGGAACATTAATAAAATATTGATGTGTTGAGTACCAGACTTTTGAATTTGCAGCTTTACTGGTTGACCTGGGCTAAAATAAATACCAGAAAAGTTAATCTGAGTCAAGAATTGACATTACAGCACTCTAGCATTCACATGCTTGCTCCTTCCTCATCTTCAGCAGCTAGCACAGAGTTCCAATACTGATGATGCCGGTCACAATCAAGTTATATGTCTGTCTGGCCTTTCCTCTGAGTGTAGTGAACCCTTTATTTACACCTAGGTGCCTCATTCTCTCCAGGGCATAATAATCTTGTTTCTCTACTGATTTTGTTGCTTGTTCCCAAAGAGCCTTGCCCACATCTGCCCTGTCACATATTAATTCTCCACCCAGTGGAAAATACCAGGAAGAAAAACGATGCAAGAAACTTATGCATGTATCCATTACCTTATTTGTTTTCATCCTGCTGAAAATGATATTCGTATTATAATTATTTGATGCCAGACATGTTCTGTTTTACTTTGTTTTATTATATTCTTAAGCTTTTTTATCTTAATGAATAGTTTTTGTTTCTTGTAGGCATAACAGTTAGTTCTATGTTAAAGCCAAAATATATGTTCTATAATTGCAGATGTAAATTTGCAGCTGTCGTTGAGAAATCAAAGCAGTAAAATGAAAACAAATTTTGGTAAGTATGTAAATGGGATAAAAATGGGCCTCAGCTTGAATTAGAAGACATAAGTAATTGTAATAAAAAGATGTAATATGCCTAAATATGTGATAAATGTAAATAGTGTAATTTTTGGAAAAGTACAGATGTTTGTGTATCTAGACACATGGATAACATCCATTTGAAGATGTACCACAGAGATAAAGTACATACTAGGAAAAGCTAAAGGGGTGTTTTATGAAAGGAAATATTTCTTATGCAGTAACTACCTGCCATGGGAGGTTAGAAAAAGTATTCTCGAATGTTATATAGAGCCAATTTTAAAACATAGTTGTGAATCCTGGACAATTATAAACAAGTCCATCAATTTCTGTAGGCTTCAGATGTGTGGTTTTACAGAAGAATGCTAAAAATTCCTGTGATAGCCAGAATGAGTATGCCAGATGTTTTGAAAAATAGGCAAGAGTCTAAAGACAACTTGTCACAAACATTAAAAGGAGACAATTATAATTTTTTTGGCCATGTTATGAGAATAGGGAAAACAGGAATATTTTTTCACCACTAGAAAGATTTGTGGAAAGAAAGAGGAAGATAAAGTATGAAGATTCTTGATCCCTTTGTCATGACATGGAGGGGTCTCAGCACTAAACTGATACATGCTGTAGATTTTTGAAAGGCATGATCGTCATTGCCAATCAGCATTGGTGCTTGTCCACTCCTCCTAATAGCTGATGACCACTGAGAGTTTTATTTTATGATCAAATGTTATTTTGCATCTATTTTTTATGTTACGCAAATAAAGGACCTTATCTTCCCACACCTTCAAATGCATTAGGTATATGTTGTTTGTTAAGTTAGAGTAGTTGCATCACTTGACAGGACCTGCAAACCACACCCAGGATTTGTTGGCTGTTTATACTTTTAGCCTTTAACACCCCACAATAAAAATCGAACTGGCTCAGAAAAATTGATCACACAAACCTACTCTCGGCCTCCTAGCAATCAAAACAGACAAAGAGGGAGTGAAACCACTCTAGAAGGTCACACGCGTAGCTCCGTTTAGGCTTCAGATTCCCAAACCATATATAGATGTCGAGTATACTCGACTGTGGGAGCCTACGAGGTGGGCGGCTGAAGTCCAATATACTCGACTGTGGGGTGCTAAAGGTTAAAAAGCAGTTTGAACATATGATTCAGCTTGTGGTTTACAGTAACTTTTGTGGGATATGACAGCCCCTGGGAAGACAGTTTTCCAGTACTAGGTTGGGTGTTCTGTTTTCACACTTGCATCATTAAAATTCAGGGCTGAGACAGCCTAAGCATCAGTACAGCCTTCCCTTGAATTCATACCCAGCTGAACAACAGTGTGAAGAAACTGGAAGTGAGTTAGGTACAATAAAATACCAGCATGGTACATGGTAACAGTGAATGTTGAAAAATTACAGTGCGAATTACACATAAACTCAAGACTTCTCAAAATAAATGTTTAAGAAAGAGAATTCTACGAATATTTTGGCCAAACAAGATCACAAATGAAGAACTGAGGAGGAAAACAGAATGCATCACTGGCAAATGTTATCAAAGTAAGACGATGGAGATGGCTTGGCCATGTTTGCAGAATACCTTGTTGACACTCTGGCAAAAACAGCTCTCAGGTGGACAGCAGATGGGAAAAGGAGACATGGACGACCTAGAGAAACCTGGAGAAGAACAATAGAATAGGAAATGAAGGAATTTAAACTAGCATGGATACCATGGGCAAAAAAGCAGCAGAACAGCAGCAGAGGAGATCACTTGTGAATGCCTTATGTGTCAACAGCGACATGAAAAGCATAGATAGATGGTACATGGTGATGATGCTATTGTAAGTTTTTAAAGGGTTAGCAAATTATAGGAAAGAGAAAAAGTTAATAAGAAAAAAAAAACAGTTTATGTAAGCTTTACAAAATTGATCACAATAAACAAACAAAGGACATTGCGGCGATTAGCCTTCATCAGCACATAAAGAACAATACAGTACACATACACAAATATTCTCTAACTATCAAGTGACTACATGGGACTAATGTAAAAAATAAATTATATTCATCTGTGTTGATGCTATTGTAAAAATGTGTTGACAATTACTTGAGGAGAGAAACCTTGCCTTTGTAGATATAATGTGTCACCTTAACAGAATCCACTGAGAAAGGTAACGAATGCTATTAGAAATTCATATCTAGATGTGATGTAAATAAAATAACAAATGGTATGCTGTCTCCACAATAAAGTTTTGTTGCAGTTCACCCACTACTCTCTTTTGGAATATTTATGGTAAGATCCCAATCTTATCCACTGTGCCACTCTTGTACCATTATCCAAATGCCAAAAGAGTGTTTTGTTTTGCTCCACACAACAACAGCAACAAAAAAGGATTACAGAAAGGATATGTAAAATTGTTTTTCCTGTGTGCGTTCTGGGACCTAATTGGGGGGTGGAAGGGGGGTGTGGGAGGGTAATACAAGCATATTATAAAAGGCAGCTAAGTATTTGCTGAAACCTGATGTGTTGGGCTCAGAGATGCAGATATCACAGCCTGGCTCTAAACCACAACACTGTGTCACCCACACTTTTAAGGGCAAACACAGAAGAAGAATAAGTAATGGTTTTCATTTTTTCCCCTCACAGATTTCAGAACAAGAAATCAGCTAACTGAAAATGTAAGACGAATGAGAGAAATTCAGCGAAGATGTAAACAGAGAGAAGCAGAAAAACAAGAATGTGTAAAAGCATTGTGGAAGTCACAGAAGTACAGCACAGTAGAATCTAAGATCAAACAGGAAGTTCTGGTATTGCATTTTTTCTTAATTATTATTATTATTATTTTTTATTTTTAAGAACAATAAAGTCTTGAATATTTTCTTCTGCAGATGCCACGTTTAAAGCAGTCACTGGCCTTTATTATTCGCAGATGTTATTGTCTGAAATGTTGGTGGCTGACATTCATCTTCATCATTGTCCTGTAATTTATTCCATTCTAACCTGGGTAATCCTTTTTTATATAAAGGATAGAATTTCAGTCCAGCACCCTTGGCTTCTCTCATCAACGCTCACTTTGGGGTTTCTTTTGGATGTCCTTGCTTCCTCGATCCATTTATTTTCCATGTTAGTGCCTGCTTGATTCTCTGTTCATTTCTTCTCAGGCTGTTTCCAATACAGTGCCATTTTCTTTTTCTGATAACTGTTGTTACTGTGATGAAATAGGGTTAGGAGAGTTGAACAGAGTGCGTTTGTCCAAACAAAGCTGAGACATCTGACACTGACGTATGTATGCACTTGATAAGCGGGCAAGCCAAGAGACTAGATTGGAACCTGGTCAGGAGAGACCACACGAAGAGGCACGAGAGAGACTGAGGTCGAAAAGATAAGACAAACCACTAGAGCATCGAGAAATGCAAACAACCACGTGGCGACGATAACAGGATGAAGGGTGACATGCGGTGATTGAAAACCCACGCAGGGAAGAGAGAAGAGAAGGGCGAGGGGAGAGAAGGGACAGTCAGTGTCTAGACGCTTGAGAAAGGCGCTTTGCTAGAAGATATATTAACTTTGGTTTTTGCTTTGCTAGAAGAGATTAAAGAACTTATCGTCAGACATGAATAGCCAGTAATAATATACTAGAATGTTATACTGTTGCATAAATTTAAATGTGTATTCTGCATAAATTGACAGGATATTGTTGAATAAACAATCTTATAAGCACTCGACTGTTCATCACTAATTGTGTTGTTAAGCACAATTATTCAACTTACAACCAGTTTCTATCATAGACTAAGTTCCGAATTAGGCACATCTATTCTTGGGAGATGTGAAAGACACAACTGTGTCACATTACCAGTGGTTGCCCTGACATTTCTCTTATTTCTTCACCACTCTTGAATTCATCCCATTTTGTGTTCAACATTTTTCTCCGGCATGTTTCAAATGCATTATCTGTGGAAGATTTTGTTTTTTGGTCTTCATAGAAGTTGGAGTAATATAGTGGTTAACCCTACAAGACCTGAGGCCCTGAACTAACTGTCCCCTATGCCTGAGCTCCTGGGCATTAATGCGAAAAATACCAACATGATATACACAAATATTAGTTACATGCAAAACAAATGGTTAAAATAAGATGAAACTTGGAGACACTGTAGAAAATAGGCTTACTTTTCATTTAGCGCTAATATTCCACCTTTGTTTGCCAATCTTCCCAGCGGGATAAGCCTTGTTTCACAAAGTGAGCACCAGATGTTGCTGTTTGAGGGACATGCTCCCCTTCTCTTACTATCCATCTATTTCTAGATCTATAAAGTTCAAGATTCTCCTCATCACTCGAGTTCTCACTGTCTGTGTCACTTGAACTTTAAACGTATTCTTCGTGAAATTCTGACTCTCAGAGTCTGAATCAACCAAAGTATCAATCACCTGTTGGACTGTGGAAAGCCTAGACCTACTTCGCTTTCCTGTCGAAGAGTTGGTTCATCAGCCACTAGTTTCCTTGTGAATTTTTAAAATTCTTTTCACATTAACCCACACAAAGTAAATCCAGACACATGGGGGCAGCTATTTGCAATGACTAACTACGGAATTTGACCGTGATTGGTTAGTTATTTTTAGTTTGTGGCGCATTTTTCACATAGTACGCAAAGTACCGAAAATTAGGTACAGCGGTTTAGCGGCAGATTAGAAAGTTCCCAGAAAAGCAGTACAGCAGTCTGGTAGAGTTAAAACACTGGCCTGCTGATTTTGTGCTCATGCGTTTGATCTCTGGTCTACCGAACCTGGTAAAGATGCTAAGAAATGCCTTGGCTGGTAAAGTCTGCTGGCATGGGGCATGACCTTAATATCAGGGAGATAAGATGTCTGAGGAGGGCTGCAGAAGTGACCAGAAGAGATCAAATGAGAAATGAAGTCATAAGAGAAAAATTGACACAGAACCAATTCTAAACTACATACAAAGGCAGCAAATCAGGTGGTTCTTCCACTAAAAAAGAATGCTTGTGAGGTCCTGCCTTACAATGCATACACTAAAAGAGGAGAATGTCAGAAAGCATCAGGTAGACCAAGAACAAGATGGGGAAAAAAAACACATCATAGATACAAGAGCATAATGTGCCCATGGTCAGGGCGGTCAGAAGAGCACAAAGCAGAACATATCTTCCTCTAGCGATAAAAGTGATAGTGAAGAAGACAAAGCTACAAAGATGGGGATAGACCATATATTTAAATACCTGAAAGCAGGCAAAAGTTTCTTTTACCTCACTTTTCTTGCCTCTTTTAAGTTATGTCTGCTCTCTTGTACTGCTAATTCTCTTTCCCACTTGTTCTATGGGTAAGTTACATAAACTAATGTGTCATTTTCTGAAGCAGTGAGCATCTGAAAGCTGTTTTCATCTCTGTTCAATCAGAATTCACATTCATTCAGTTTTTTTTTTTTGTTAAATCAATCAATGCATGGAATTTTGTGTTTATTGTGGTATTTGTGTATTTGTGTGTGTTTTTTTAATATTATAATTTTGCTTTTGCTTTTAAACAGGTATTTGTATATGGTGTTTACCTGTTTTTGTTTTACATCTAGACATGCCTATTTCTGATAACTGCATATAAATGAGTCTGTTATCTCCATGATGTTCTTCAAGTTTAGTTCAGGCTTATGATTGCCACACACACACACACACACACACGCATGCACACATATGTGGGTATGCTCACACACATGGACACACATGTGCACACATACACAGATACACATGCGCACACGCATATATATCCTTTAGGTACAGTAAGAACATATAGCAGAAGTGTTACTTGATGTAGCAAGAGTGCTTGGGTAATTTAATAACAATTGTTATAACAGTTTTAGCATATAGTGTAATAATGATAGAAAAACTGTTACTGCAGTGTCTAGCTATTCTCACTACTCCTGTTGGGTCCCAGGTGCAACTACCATCAACTGTAGTCTATGAGCTAATTTCGGCTGTTTTCTTGGTATCACCTTAACTCAGACATTAGTTCAGATTCAAACCTTGATGCGCAGGGCTGGTAGTCAAACCCATACTCACTGCATAAGTATATATTTGCTAGAGATCAGCAACAAATAGCTTCCATAAATCCAGCCCAATGCTAACCGGAACCTAAGCTTAGGTGTATAATATTTCTTTATATCCACCACTACAAACTAAATTTTTCTCTGTACCTGTTCCTGAAGCCATCACACCATGTGGTCTGGATTTCAGTCCTCATCTGATATTTTTTTTTTCAACAGTATGCTGCTAGGACTGACATAGTCTTGTATTATAAAATGGGCACCTGGGGTCGATTTGTGGATGTTGAAAAAGAGGAGGGGTCACTCTTTATATTGTGATGTAGTCAACATGAAAACCTACCAAATGTCCATAGCAGAAATAATATAGCATCCTGGTGGTCTCTCTCTCTCTCTCTCTCTCACTCTCTCTCTTTCTTTCTTTCTCTCTCTCTTTTTCTCTGTCTCTCTCTCTCACACACACACACAAACGCATGCACCTAGCTACCCACTCACACACATATTTAAGCCATTGATCATGGCATAAATAACACCAGACCATAATTATAACTGACACTATCTTCAGCAAGGTTGATCATATTCACATTTTAGATTTGTTTTCACCATACCAACACCACCCCAAAAAAAAAAACGAAAAGCATAATAGAGCAAGAGAGAAGGGAAAGTGGAAGAGAGAAAGAACATATTTTACAGATGATTTAAATGTTCTTCTCATTTTTTTTAAACATCATAACGTATTGTGATGGTTTATCTCTAGAACCCACAGACACCTAGACCAAGTTCAGCAAATTTCTTGAGAGCTCACTCTCGTGCTGGGCCTCCAGTAAAGCTTCAGTCACGACCTTGCACTCCTGATGTCTCACATAAAACCACAGTTCCACCAGCATCCATAGCAAATGATGTGAGTTGATGCTCGGTTACTTACCTACATTTTTGAAACAACCCTAAACAAAATTTTTAAACATTTTATGCATGTTGTACCATTTTAAAATACTGACATTCATTCCTAATTTAAGAGTCAGCATCAGTGCATAAAAAGCAGGCCCAAAATTATTTGTCTTCTTCAGCAAATGTTGCAAAGTTTGGATGCTGATTGTTTCAGTAGCACTCTGTACCTATGTCATACACTTCCTCTTAAATGTCCTTCCTTGCTTACATCCTAATTCCAGATTCACACAACCTTACATATTATCCCATCTAACATTGACTGTCATTTTTCAGTAATTGGAAAATGAGGGTCAACTTGTTCATGTAACTTCTCAGAAACTTCAGCCATATCAAATGTCATAATGGCTAGTGGCAAAGACCAGTATTCAATGGATGTAAGTGTTGAGAGAAGAATCATGAGTTGACCAGCATGATGATGGGTTCAGAGAATGAAAGTCCACTAAGTGGGAAAGTTGGTAAGGATCTGAATGGCTTTAATGCATGTTCTGCTAGGGACCTACTACATGAATACTGTTTTAAAAGAAAACAAAATATTTTAATTCCCTGCTTTATTAGCACTCATGATACTGATGCTAATAAACAGACTGGGGTCAGTGTAGCTTATGGGGAGAATAGCAGATAACAGAGGGACAAAAACTGATTACACAGAAGACTAAGTGTGAGCAGAGCATGAGAGAGACCACGAAGACAATGGAGAGAAATATACAAGCTATTTATGCTGGGAGTCACAAAGTGATTCTTGGGTGTACAAGAGACACTCCATTTCATGCCATGCAATACATCCTGTACCTACCAGACATGGTCATCATCATCATCATCAGTTCTTGTTATGCCTGATTGCACATGAGGCTTTAGAGAGGACTTTCCTTTCCTGTGCAATCTTCAGTGCAGTTTTCCGTGTCAAAGATGCCGCACTCAAGGCACTTTCCATCATTCGTCTCTATGTTGTTTTTGGGCGCCCCTGTTTTCTCTTTACCTTTGGTGTCCATGTGACCAGACATGATCACTAGGCCATAATGTCGTACCTGGGTGTTGCTGTTAACAGAAAACACCCTCTTGGCTGATGCTGAATTAAAGGGCCCTCATCTGTGAGCACACTCAACAGTAATCTATACAGATTGTTCAGGGTTGTGGGGTGCCATCTAGGTGGGCATACATAGTGCAGGTGAATTTGAAGACAGTTAAAGAAGAAAGACATTCAGAACTACATATAGTATGATAGAGATAGCAGCTGTCACTTGTATGGCAGGCATAACAGAAAGCAGCTCACACATTGAGAGTCGCAGACTCACTGAGCATGCTTAATTATATCCAGACTGGTAGACACTGACTAGAGTGAGCTGAAAGCATTTAGAAATCCAACCTTAAAACACTCTTTTGGTTGTAGACACCAGGATATGCAGGAGTGAAAGGAAATTAAGGAACCGACAGACTGGCTGTGTTTGTAGTAGCTAGTGGAGAAAGAAATATTTACTGTGGAGTCATACTGCATGCACTGTATTCCAAAAATGTTAAGTGAGCATGGAGACGTGGAGATGGCTGCTGCATTTTAGAGTGGAGCATAAATGAATTGAACTTGCGTGCTGGATTGTTGATGTGGATGTCAATTAACAAGTACTTCACCAAAAGAAAAGAGATAGCCAGTCACATAGATGAATGGTGATGTCTGATGTCTGCAGCAATGAACCTCAAGGGCTTGGAATGCTGGAAAAGAGGATGAATTTGTTGTTGTGATGCGCTTTTTGTCCTATTCAAATTTGTGTTCAGTTTTGGGTGTGTTATGTTGTTTTCTAGAGTTTTCCTACAAAACCATCTAGTAACAGCATTGTTGATGACATCTATCTCAGGTGAAACTGATCCGACATGATTTTGATTTCATCAAAGTAAATGGTGTTAATGCTAAGAAGGCTACACTTCCAAGACCACAGTCACTAACATCTCTTGATAATTTCAAGAAGCGGCAGGAAGAATTATTGAGTCACCATGAAATGGGAAAAGTTCCTGGCTAGTAAGTTACTTTGTTATATTCACAATGGATACAATTTGCAAATCTGCAATTCTCTTTAAGAACAGTCGGTTTCTTTTTCTCTTTATTTTTTATATCATCCTCTTCTTTGAATTTTAGATCCAGAATGTCATTTTTGTTTGTTGAATATTCTTAGAAGATGCTGTCAGTACCCATTCTTTTCACCATGCCAGAAAAGTGTAATTTTTTTTTTCTATCTTCTACTCCTCTTCCATCTGTTCCTTTCTTCTTTTTTCTTCTCCTCCTTCTTCTTCTTCTTCTTCCTCCTTCCTTCCTCTTCTTCTTCTTCTCCTCCTTCTTCTTCTTCCTTCCTCTTCGTCTTCTTCCTCCTCTTCTGCTAGTTCTTAGATTGAGCAAACATCATTTATCGTAACCCTTCTTTCACCCTCTAACATGTTATATTCTATTAAGCTGATTGTATATTTCACTTGTCCAACTATTTTAGCTTTCCTTATTTATTGTTTGTCTTCCTTTACCTAATATTGTACATTTTAACTTATTCATTCCAAAGCTCGCTCACTCAGCTCCAATTCTTTCTTTAATACATGTTTTATAGCTTTATTTGTTTAATCCATCAGACCCAACATTCATCATCATCATCATCATCAAGTGCCCTGCGCTCATGCGTCTCCACAGATAACGATCCATGCATGCCAGTGTTTCAGCCCATTCATCATCATCTTTTTTTGGTCTGCCTCTACCCCTTTTTCCACTGATCTTTCCAGTTATCACGATGTTCTCCAATGTCTCCCTTCTCATTATGTGGTCAAAGAACAGTGTTTGTCTCTTTCTTATTGTTGTATATAGAGATCTACTTTCATTAGCCTCTTTCAAGCAATCGTTGTTAGTTTCTCTGGCTGTCCAAGGTATTCATAACATTCGTCTCAAAAACCACATCAGCCTTTTGATGTTGTCTGTGTGGCTATGTCAACAGAACCGCTTGTTTCATGGTCAGAGAGAAGGAAAGCAATTAATTCTTTGTTTGCTTCACATGTATTTAGTCATTAATTTCCGACCTTTTAAGTTGTTTTGCCATGAAAGTGAATAAACAAATGTAATATGAATGATCGTAGTGGTTTGATGACCATAGTATCACAGTGGCCATCATGCTTGCCTGTCTCCTCGATGGACATAAGTTTCCATCACCCTGATGTTTTTGAAAACTTACCATGACTCTATAAACTTCTTCTTCTGCTGCTTCTTCTTTTTCTTTGCCACTAATCTCTTAGGTTAGAGTTTCAAGGAAATTACAAGGATGCAGTTCTTTTGAAATAAATTTGAATAGGGACTCCCCCTTCCCTCCACCTCTTCCATTCTTAGAGGGTGAAAGGGTTAATGTTCACAACATGTGTATCAGTCTTCCTAGTGTTTTTTTTTTCAATTCTTACAGGGCAAAAGGGTTAATGCTGACAACATGTGTACCAGTCTTCCTAGTTTTTTTTTGGTTTTTGTTTAATTCTTACAAGATGAAAGGGTTAATACTGACAACAATTGTATAAGTCTTCCTGGTTTTTTTTAGTTTTTTTGTGTGTTTTTTTTTACGGGGTGAAAGGGTTAATGGTGACAACATGTGTATCAGTCTTTCTATTTTTTTTTCAATTCTTACAGGCAAAAGGGTTAATGCAGACAACATGTGTATCAGTCTTCCTAGTTTTTTTTTTTTTTTTATTCTTACAAAATGAAAGGGTTAAAACTACAACATTCGTGTCAGTCTTCCTGGGTTTTTTTAATTTTTGTTTTTATAGGGTGAAAGGGTTAATGGTGACAACATGTGTATCAGTCTTTATAGCTTTTTTTTTTAAATTCTTACAAGGTGAAAGAGTTAATGTTTACAACATCTGTATCAGTCTTCCTAGGTTTTTTTCTATAATTTTTAATTTTACAGAGCAAAATGGTTAATGTTCACGACATGTGAATCTGTCTTCCTAGTGTTGTTTTTTTTTTTTTTTTTTTTTTTTTTTTTGAATTCTTACAGGGCAAAAGGATTAATGCTGACAACATGTGTACCAGTCTTCCTAGTTTTTTTTTAAACCCTTACAGGATGAAAGAGTTAATGGTGACAACATCTGTATCAGTTCATCCTAGTTTTTTTTTGCCAGTTGCTGAGAAGGCTGTGTATTCAAACCACTGCTGTACATGATTAAAATGGAATGTTTAAAAATAGATCTCTTGGACTATGAACACATGACATATTACAGCATTAACATTTGTAAAGGGCCTGTCAGGTAATTGCAGTTCCAACTTCATAGCAAATGAGTCACCCCATAGTTGTTCTGCGCCATCGAAAACAACACAGAATGTCCATCACTGTCCCTTGTGGAAAATAAAATGGACACAGACTGCAATGTCAACAAATCCATTAGCATACACATGCATTAAATGCAAAAGGCAGTTGTCCGAAGTGCTATCACAAACAGTCCGACACTAGAAATGCAGTTCATCGTCTATGGAAGCAGCAGTTACAGCAGATCATTAGTTGCACTTTGATTAATCACATAAGGGGCCACCAGTTCTGTGACAGCAGGCCACTCACAATGTCACGCTGTGGGCCTGGCTGTGTAGCTGGACAACTAAACTGGATCCTTTCAGTCAGTGTGTGGAGGAAGGTGCAGCAGCCAACTATTGTCAGAAGTAAAAACATGTCTGACTAAAACAGTAAACCTGCCTATCCTCCATATAGACCAGAAGGGCCTGTTCCTTGCCTTGATGCGTATTGGGTGCTGACTTTATATTTTATAGACCAGTAAGCACTCTGTCTTATGGTCAGTATCATGATGGTCACTTTTGTGTCCCAGAACATTTCCTAGTACCTAATTTCTTGTTATGCTGAGAGACTTAGTCTAAGTCAATTTTGAAAACCTGCCTTGATGGAGATTCAAAAGTATTCCAACTGGACCAACAGGTAAATGTGTAATCTATTTCACTATTGTGACTTCCTACGTCTGCAATACAGGGCCGGTACTGTTGTGAGAACTGATGTACTGACTTGACTTGACATAGGAAAAGAAAAAAACTCGGACTACTTCAACTGCCACGAGGGCTTGGCTTTATTTGCGTCCTTGGTTCTTTGCGGTTTGGTAACGTTATTTTCTTGTGGGGTGTAGATATGCATGAAGTATTGCTTGCTCTCTTTGCCACTTGATGTACTGACTTAAAGGAGACTATTTATAAGAATACTTGGCGTAGACACAGAGTAAATAGTAAAGTAAAGGACCCTTTAAGCAAGTGGGTATATGATACTAGACTCATAAATTTTAAGACTGAACGGCGCTCTGTGGGTGATGTCCTAAACATCACACTGGCCACCTTTACTTTCCAGGACATTACCTGATACTCATTTTAGGCTGGGTCGACGTGGGGATGAACAAAGAGCAAAAACAGTATTTTAGAATGAAAATAACTTGTTCTAACAATATATTTCCTTCTGTTAGTCTGAACAAGCGCAAGCAAGAATGGCAGAAAAATGAGGAAGACCGAGTAGCAAACACACCTGATCCTTCAATGCCTGTTGGTCATCGACAGCTTCCAGAGAATGAGAGAAAGGACACTCTTGATTTGCTACTTAAAAGTAAGATTACATGCATTTATGTTCCCCATGTGGGTTCCAGGGCTTCATTGTGGGGGGAGGGGAGGGGGGGGGGGAATAGACCCACTGGCCCATAATATGCCTAGCATTAAAGGGGAATAATTAAGGATTTGATGAAATCAGATAATGTTGGGCTGAAGGGCGTAGGAATTGCAGCCTACTGTAAACCACAATACAGTGTGGTAGCCTTTAAAGGCAAACACTAATGAAAAAGAAGAAATTGAGTTTTATTTTATGATTTGACAGAAAGAAGATTGGTTACATCTGTTGTTCAAGTTAAAATAGTGTTGACTGATTAATGAATTTACTGGAAGAGTGCCTTATCTCTCAAGTATAATGCATGAGGTAATTTTGAGACTATAAGGGATGTACATGTTTCTGTGAACCTGGTTTGAAAGTACATTTTAAGATTTGTATGCTTCATTAGCTGTTGATGTAAACATAGTAAAGAAATGCACCTGATGAGATAAACAAAATTTGCCAGGTAGTAAATTGTGCAAAATAGTATTTTTCTTTAACAGACTTCTTCATATTCTTATATTCATGTATCTGTTTTTTTGTTTTAACAGAACAAGATGAAGTTATTCGTCAAATGCAACGTCTTCCTATTGGTGCTGATACAGTCAGAGTCAAGCAAGAGAGGCAGTCTTTGGAGAAACAGTTAGTTGAAGTAGAGGAAGCCATTAAAATCTTTTCACGCCCTAAAGTTTTTGTTTGTATTGAGACTTAATTGTGCAAAAAGTAGCAGAATGGGAAAGTATTTAGACATTCCAAGATTTGACTGAATTTTATTCTTTGTTGTATATTAAATCAGTACATCGTTTTAGTTCATTTATTGTTTTACCTGGTCCTTAGTATTTTAATAGCAAGGCAATCAGCAACAGTAGCAATTAGCAGCATTTTATGGCAGGCAGAGACTGCAAACAGTTTTGTTGTTAACTGACTGTTTGCATTTACTCATTTATCTGTTTCCATCAGTTCAGGTTCTATATTGCAGTTTGATTCATAGAGGATTATTTTTGTTGCCCATGGATTTCCTCACACATGCTCCCAATCTCTTCTTATAAATAACACAGTAAGAATTTGAACACATTGCATGAACTCCGTAACACCTTTAAGAATTCCAGTGTGTTTACCTCAGGAACACACACGCAATAAATATTTTTACTGTCTGCTTTTCTGGTTTTAGAATGTTGCCTGGGAAATAGTTTGTGTGGCCTGCTTTTTCAAGTTTCCAACTGCCAAGGACTTTGGATATGCTTCTGCTATCACAAGATTAAAGTTGTTATTATAGAATATAATTTTATTTTTTAAAATCTTCAGTCAACACCGTGAGATAAACCAGGTTTGCTTGAGTTAGAGACAGATGCCATAACTTCTGGTATACTACTCCACCCTGAGTTGTAAATTTATAAAAGACTAACTTTGTTGCACTTAAATCCTATATATATGCGCTTTTGTAATACTTTCTAGAGATCATTCATGAAGGTTTTGATCACATAACAGGAAGATTTCAGCACTGGCGTGTATTTTAATGTGTACTAAAGATTCTTCACAGACTAAATGTTCTCTTAATTGTCAACTCTTTGAGAGTGTAGTGGACTGTATAGCTTATTTTAAATAAATTATGATTGTCCTATTGCATGCTGTTGTCTGAAAATTCCACTACCCAGGGATAAGAGGAAGCTTTCCCATGCTTTAGTTTCCTTTTTTGTAAAAATTGTATATATTTGTAATTCAGATTAGAGGTGGATGCCATGTGCCTCAGCCACTCTGGCACTTTGCATAACTAAGTTGTTCTTGATTGATCTTGCCCTTGAAACCATTTTCTGTGTCAGGAAGTAACGAATGTTACGATGTGTTTACATGAAATAAATTGAGTTCGCTTTCTGGAAACACAGGTCGCATTAAAATATTTCATATTTTACATTCACAGTATTTAATAATTATACCTTGCAATGAAAAATCATATCAGTAAGTAAAAGTTTCAAATCAGTGCTCAGTCATAATAATCCTAAAAATGCTAACTTAAATAATGAATAGTTGGATTGAAACTTTAGCATACACATTTGTCTACTGTAAATTTTCATTGAGTTGATCTTATAAATTAGTTTGATTACTGCCAGCAAGTTGTATGTCTGTAATATTTAGATTATGCTTTTCTAGGTATTATGCCTACAATTCTGTGCCATGTGGTAATGTTCTTGTGGCTAATTTACTTGCTTGCTAGAGAGCTGAGTGATCTTCTTTAGGCTTCTGTAATTAATTTGCTATTTTTCCTTAATCAGTAGGTGCTCTGTTTGCTAAGTTCCTCCACCATAGAATTGTTTAACCTCTTAATGCCTGTCTCACTTAATATATAAACTCAAAAGTAATATGTGATATGGTTTCATTATATCTATTCTCCTTCTTCTTCTTATGTTCACCAGCAGTAAACTCCAGCAGAAAGATTTGGTCTTGTTTCAGAATCTGAGGGTTGCATGCACATCTGTTTTGCATATCTGACTTTTGTTTTTAATATGCAGACTGTTTGGTTCCTTACCACTCAGGCAGAGGCACTCAGATTTTGAATCTAGTGATTTTCATTTATTACTTCTTTCTGACTTGTTTTCTTTTACATGGGAACATCTCCAAATGATAAAATAATGTAAACAAATGTTTTAACTAAATGTTTTAAACTTCATCTCGTCTACATCAGAACTGAATTCGAAATTTTTTATATTTATATCATTTTAATGTGAATCACGTAGAACCACTAGTTCAGTGTGTTCACAACAATATAACACTCTTTTTCATAATAATGCAGAGGATAAGCGCTAAAATAAAATGAAAATTTCAGAAAGGTTATTTTCACTTTATCCGTGCTCATGGAGAGATATATTCTATGAAAACATGAGCTGTGTTTATGCTTTAAAGACTATCAGCATGTTTTTGGCAAAGTGAAACATCAGGATTTTGTCCACATTTTGCATGATTTCTACATTTTAAAAAAAGACTTTGTCAGACCTAAATTTGTTTAGCAAGTTATTTTTAGGTTTAGCAAAGTGTCCTTTTTTGTTTTTAGATTAGATTCTGGACATGCTTCTTCCATCTTTTATCTCCAAGTGGAGCATAGACTCTCAACTAACAAGCCCTTTGTAGACTTTTGTTTTTTTTTTCATTTTGCAGTCATTTTTCTACCAAACCTCATCACTGTTGGATTCAGTGATACTATTCTTTATGGACCTTAGCAAGACATGGACATTTGAGATTTACATTACCTGTTATCATTTCATGACCTTGGTAGTGAAATCGGGTACCAAAGAAGTTATATTTTTAGCTGCTGATTTATTAGTCACTGAATGAATGAATAAGTCAATCAAACATTGAAACCACTACACTTGAGATATTTCCTAAATTGCACTTTAATATTCCTCAGTAGCAAACAATGTTTTTTTTTTTGGGATGGTGCCAGCTGTACCTTGATTAAAATATGAATACCATCCAGACCCTCTCCTCACTCCTCTCATCTAATTAATTCATCTTTTTTCATATCAGAATGTAGCATAGCATACAGTAATGCATGTAAGCAATAATATGCAGCAGTTTACATATGTAAGAATGAGACTAATTATAATTGACATAAAAATATGGACATAATTGACCAATCTTGAGCCATCATGTTGAATGTATGTTAAGAGTTTGAAAAACTACAGCCTATGTTGTTGTAAAAAGCTTTTAAAACTGAATTATATTGCAAAATTATTTTTTTATTTTAATCAGAAAATTGACATAAGTGGTGGGAAAACCTAGCCTGCTGGCTAAAACGACCCACCAAGCAATTTTCACTGGCTTGTAGGCTGGTGTGAAATTACTATATAATCAGGCCCTTGAGCTGCAGAAAGAAAATAATCAAAATAGCACCTTCAAAACATTGATAACCTTAACAGTGATAACCATGAACTGACGCCACCAAATCTTTTTAATCTTAGATTATCCCACAAAATATTGTGTTATGAGGAAATATGAGTGTTATGTTTATAACTGACTTTTTTTCTATTTGGCCTGCAAAAAGATTGGTAATTCTAAATGTGGCCCCCGGACCAAAAAAGGTTGTCCAGTCCTGGTTTACATATATTGCCTAATTTTTAAATCGCTTTGTTAGTTTCTTTGTGAAATATTTGTGTGTGTATTTTCTATTAAGTTTACTTTTTCTGAACCTGTCAAGAAATAAAATTTTATGACATATTGAAATTGATTGCTTAACATCCATTTTGTGAATATGTGGTCTGTTAGTCTACAATGTTAATGTCTTTCCAGACAGTAGTATTACACAGTGTTATAGTAACGCAAGGGTGCCACAACCCGTGGTGAATGTGAGTGTGTCTATCATAACAAGCACACAGTGACTTGAGTTGAATTAAGAACTGACATCACAGCACGCAGGACATTCCCATAAGTGCTGCATCCCCATCTTCAGCAGCCTGCTAAGAGTTTCAGTTCTTATTGTACCAGTAACAGTCTGATTGTATGTCCTTCTTGCCTTTCTTCCTAGTGTCGACCATTACCCTGGTGACTCGCTGCACCATTCTGTCTCAACTGCAATGATCTATTCTCATTTCTTTATTACTCACTTGCTCCCAGAAAATCCTTGACCATATCCAGCTTGTCATGTCATGCGTCAGTTTGCCACCATGGTACAAAGGAAGCCAATCCGTCTGCCAGTTAATTTCCTAACACGTTTGCATACCCTAATAAAATATCCAAATGATGCTAACTATTCTGGACCTTGTACACTAGACTTGCCACTCTGCACCAATAATACCTGTCTACTCTTTTCTCTCTTACCATGCTTTTTGAGTCTGTTAAAATCATGATATATGTGTTTTGTTGGTTTTCAAGCCAATGGAAAGCTGCTGTGACTGCCTTAACCTCGATTTTCAAACTAGATGTTTTGATATTGTATCCTAGGTTTTATTACACTAAGCAACATATATTCACTTCTACAGTGAACCCCCATCATTGTATTCTGCTTCTCAACACAGAGCTATCTGTATAGATAACCATATCAACTGGTTGGCCCCATTGTTGGGAGAAAAATGAAAAGACCTACTGCCCCTTTCCCTCCCTCCCCAAGCAAGCAGATCATAAATGTAGACTAATTAGGAGTGTTTCTTTCAGAGTGCATCTGCCTGAGAGATAAGAAACCAAGAGTCTGCATACAATAAGCCATTCTGTTGAATGGATGTGCATACAAAACTCAAAAAAAAGTGACTATCTAATGGTTTGCTGAAATCAAATATCACAGCCCAGCATGGATTTCAAAGGTGACTGACTTTTTACCCCACCAGGACATCACACTGCGATAAACACCCTGTGACACAAAATGCCACCATTTGGTGGAGGATCACCCCTGAAGATGTCCCAGAAACCCCGTTAAACCAATAGGTTAGATTAGGACCTCCGGCAACAGCTAGGGTGGGGCTTCAAAGTAACAAAAAATGCAATCATTTTGTGTACGTTTTTTATCAGACAATAATTTAATCATCCCGCACAAATTAACATTTAACTGATGTGATAAAGCACGTTCTGATACAGACAACATGGATCTTTATAATCACGAGGAAGTACAGACATCAGAAAAAGTTATAGATTCACTGAAATTAAACAAACTAGTATTTGCTGACAACCAGTGCTTGTTCTACCCTAAAGAAGATAGACTGCTAGACCATATTAACAGGTTAAACTCAG